TATTAATGTAAAAAAAAAAAAAAAAAAAAAAAAAAAAAAGGATAAACGATATCTCCAGAATGAGTAAATCACAGCAAAAGCCCTTAAGGCAGATATTGCTGAAGGGCAATGAAGGTACACTGCAGGGGATTTTCTCTGCTATGGGCAGGATTGGTATCACAGCCTGGTTGGTACCACCTGAGCTTCCAAGTCTGAGATCCTATTTTTAGTTCTTCACAACTTTATTTGTGGGCTGAAATTTTCCAGCCTCAAAAGATGGGAGTTCAGGAAAGGTTACAGAGAAGGCTAACTGAAAGAAATGGGATCTGAACAAGATAAGAGACTGGAGATGAGATATGAGAGAAGCTGAATGAGTCCCAACAGGGGATAATAAGCAGAAAATCTGAGTCCACTAATGTAGCTTGAAATGAAACCCGAGATTGTTCTATCTCACTTTTTTTTTTTTTTTTCTATCAGCACATCAGCTGCTATGTCCTCTTCCCCTGCTTGGCCTCAAAAGTAGCAACCTACAATTCCTATCCGTTATTCCAGCATGTCAAGGCACAGAGGTCCATGGAGCTCATCTTGAGATTCAGGCTTGATGACGACCTACACCGGGATCACTATGACATCCCACAAGAGAATTACAATGTGTTTTAAAAATTGGAAGTTTATTTATGAATCCAAAGGCACTGAGTTTGTTACAGAGGTATCAACACCCTTCCTAAGCCTAGCATGCAAATCTTCAGGAATTCTAGAGATGAGTTTGCCTCAGCAATGGGATTTTAGGTCCCTGTGTGTGTGTATGCAAAGACATGGTTTTAATTACGGGCTCAGAGCAGTATTTTTTCTTTCCATGCAATTCCTGCTTTTGCACAGGAGAGCAAGATCTAAAGCAGAACAGGTTCACCCCTCATGAGATGATTGTCCTTCCCTCCAGTCAAGTGACACAGTGGATGTCCCACAGCACCAAGGTTTGCATGACAGGAACAGGAGCAGGGATGGTCTCAGACCTCATATGGATGATCTGGGATCCATATTCACATCAGCCAACAATTACCCATTAAATACTTTGCAAGTCATTAAAGAAAACATCTCTCTTAGAGGATCTGAACACTACCTGTAAATTTGCCATGGGGCAAACACAAGTAACATGGAGAGAGCAGCTCCTCTCAGGAGAGCTGATCCTACATTGCTGCCCTTGACTGGCAGACCTCACCATTCATGATGCCTGCATGGTGAAAACAGAAATATTATCCTTACATTTGGAATAGTCTGAAAGCGTTAAAAAAAAAAGCTTAAGGAAATACCGATATGTGTTTGCTTTTCCCCAAAACCATTTATCTGTATACAGAGACAAGAGCTTTGCTCTTCAAATACCCTGAACTAGGAGGCTACACTGACATAAGGGATTGGCTTGGGAATAAAAGAAAACTGAGTAGAGCCACCAGCCTGGAGGAAAACCCAAATAACAGCTGGAATTCCATGCTGAGTGCCTGGCATTGGACAGGTTGTTCTCGGTTCTCGGAGGCACCTGCAGCGCTCACAGGACTCAAAATCCCTTACAAATGCAGGTTTTGACCCATCACGTCCTGTATGTGCATGATTAGAAGATTTCTTACATGTTTGTCAGCCCATGGTACTTATTCCCCATCTGTTTGAATGCGTCATGAAAATTATTGTCACCACAGATCAAAGATAATGTCTCCAAAAAACAGAGTGAGCCGGAAGGGGAGAAAAACTCTCAAGGAATATGGATTGCATCAATATCAAATCAAGTGAATTCAGTAATAAAGAATGAAAGATTCACTAAGCATGAACAAAGCAAGGCTTCCAGCAGAAGCAGAGAAGAAATAATAATTTCTTCTTTAGTTTTTCTTCCCTTGAATGTTCTTGTTTCTTAAACCAGATATTAAAAGTCAATTATTAGATTTCATTCTCCTTTTTTAATGCCTTATATTTTGTAACAAAAGAGCCTATTTTAGTCAGGGTCAGGGAAAATTTGATGGCTCAACTAAGCTTCTCTATAGTATATTGGTAATACCAACTGCCAGGCTCTCATCTGATGCAAAGAAAGCTTTTTGGGTAATTGTCTCCTTGAAAAGGCACCAGCTGAGTTGTCAGGCTTGAACAGTGTATACATACAACTGAACTTGGGCCTTATTATAGTAATATCCAGCAGTGTTGCTAAAATAAAGGTCTTATGGCACTATTTTTCAACTACTCCGCACCTTCAGTCCTTTTGATTCTTAAACATTGCTGATTCAAACTTTCCCACCATCAGTGCTTTTACCCACATATTCTAGAGGTTTGATTTCCTGTTTCTTTGGGGTTTTTTTGTGGGAGTGTCCATTAAAACCAGTGAGATTTTACATTTTCCAAATGTCTACATTTTTTTCTGTTTTTATTTTGTCATTAAAATTTTTATACTGTCCACATAGGCTGTTTTTTCATGAAAAATCTTACAGCCTTTTATTAAAAAAAAAATCGTATATAAATCCTAACCAGACCTCTCCATTCCTGGATATATTATCTGCAAGGCGAATACCTTAACCTACAGTTATAATGTTAAGTCTCATTGAAGCAACAACAACAACAAACAAAAACCAAACAAACATCTACCACAAACATTTGCAATTTTAATTAAAAATCAATTTTAAATAAAATGAGAGTTATAGTTTTAATAACACAATGCCTCCTAAACAACTTCTGTTGTATCTGAATTTCCAAATTAAATCAATGCAGTCAGCACAGCACAAACACAACCATGCTATGCACAAACCCTTTACACCAAGGAGTGGATTAACTCTGAACAATTTATCTGAAAAAAAACCTGTTCAATTTAAAACCAATAAAAACCAATATCCACATAAGCATGTAGAATACTCACTCAGCTCAGTCACACAATGACTTCATGGCTCTATGAATATTCTTTAGCGTAAAAAAAAGCTTTAGAGTTCACAGGGGAGCACAAAAAATACTGTTAACATGCTTCCCCTGGCAGTGCTACTATTAAACATTTATTCAGTCCAGCAGAACTTTAAAAATACAGTTTACATCTCCCCATGTTTATTTACTTTTTGAATTCCTGCTCTAACAATGAAGAAAATCACGCAGGGAACTCGGTTTCGTTGCACTTCATTGAAGTTCCACCTGGCATTCATGCATATTTTTGTCTGAAGGCACTGAAAGAAGTGATTTGTGTAAAAGCAACTTTAAAACCCGATTTCTTTGGCTACAGAAACACCACCGACTGACTCAGCTCTATTCAGAGAACTCTCAGCAAACAGCAAGATTTGAGGCTAAGATGAAGTGCCCTTTCAGGCAGCATACGAAGGTCTGCAGCACCTCAGTGGCAAAAGTCACACTTGGATGCCAAAACACCTCCCCGGAGCAGGTCACACCTCCTTGGGAGAGGCTTCGGTGCCCGAAATAAGGCTCCTCCCTTCAGTGGCCCTGACTCCTGTTCCGTGAGGAGCTTCACTCCTGTGTCCAGCCTGGGCTGGACTTACAGAAGCCCAGAGGAGAAGAAGTTGAGCTCTAACAGACCAGCAGCTCCTCGGTGTTAAAAAGGAAAATAAGGACACCAAATGCCCAGCAAGGCCAGCAATTCAACACACAGCAAAGAGGATGGGAACTCCTGGATGGGAACTCCTAGCTCTCAGCTATCCCCGCGGGAAGGGAAAAGGCATCTAACCGGGAATGGGTTGCTTCCCTGCTGTGCAAGTGCGGGAAGAGAAGCTTAACCTCCTTTGTCTGCCCTGAAGGGTGTCAGCTTGTTGGTGGACTTCTACCAGGGTGTCTTGGGAAGGGGGGCTGGATGGGAGGAATTGCAGGAATGCTAATGGCAGCAAACAAGAGGAACCGGTTCCAGTGTGTACTCAAAGCCTCCCACAGCCTCCCCCCCGGAGTTAAATCGGCCTTAACTAAACCTTGTGTCACCTTCTGCCTGGAAAACTTGCGACAAAACAACAAGGTTATCGCTCAGACATCTGGACAGGTTCCATATATAACATAAATTCAGCCCCTTATGCACACACACGGCGATATGGGTTTTAACTACATACCAAATATATGATGCAACACGTGTAGAAAGAGTGCTGAACGAGCTACATATAAATATCTACTATAATAGGGGTGAAGAGCAATTAATTTTCAAGGGACTGGTAACAAAGTGGAGGAAATAAAACCCTGAAAGCACAGCACATGAATGCATTGCTAGAGATATTCCTCAAGAACTATTTTATGGCTTATAGAGTTGAATCTCAACATTCACAGTTTGTATCATTTCCTGGCAACTTGTATCATATCCAGACAATGGTAATTGTGACCCCTTTTTCTCTTTCTCGGGAGGTTTCACATTGTTACAAGCTCCAATTCTGCAAGAGAAGTCATGTGCAGAAGTCTCCCGTGAAGTTCTCCCACGAAGTCAGTGGGGATATCCACAAGACTACAAATCCACCACCTACCCACCGTCAAACTCAGGAAACTATTTCACAAGTTCTCGGCGTAGAGAATCCTATTCAGCTGAGTCATATCCTTGTGCAGATAACTCCCGACTGCCTTCCCAGACAGAGGTGTGAGCATCGGTGTAAAAAGTAATAGCCTGGCATAAAACCTGTTACAGTATAAACCTGTCTCATTACGACCTTTGAATCATATTATTGCGGGAAACGAATCATATTATTACGGGAAACGGTAACAACGAAGGTGTCCTGCAGAAAGAACCCACTGAAATCCCGTGAGCTCGGTACAGCCCGTGCCCGAGGGGACAAAATGCGGGGGGATCCCAGACCACCCCACCGGTTGGTCCCCCTTTAGACAGGGCACCTTTCATCCAAAAAAACCCGATTAGGGTTAGATTTAAAGGGCAGCCCAGCAGGTTGCTCTCAGGAGAAGCACGCAGTGCTCTGTCTGACGTATCCCTGAGTGGATCCCTGTATCCACACTCGCTCTCCGGAGCAGCCCGCGGGGTCCCGCTGCGCCCGCGCCCTTCCCGCACCTCTCCCGCCGGCTTTTACCTTTTCCCTTTTCCCTTTCGCCCTTTGCCAGAGGTGCGGCCGGCGGAGCCAAGGCCGGCGGGTGCCGGAGCAAAGCCCGGCCTTTCTGTTTCGCTCTGCGGGGCGGAGGCGGCGGGACCGGCCGGGCTGCGGGGCTGGGGCGGCGCTGGCCGGGCACGGGCCCCGCCCGCCCGCGGGGGGAAACCCGGGGGCATCCATCCCCCGCACTACCCCACTGCTGCCTGGGGGCGTGCGGGGAAAGTTGTTGTTCGGATAAATTAGGTGTCAAGTTTCGCGGCGTCGCCACCTGACTGCGGGCGGGGAAGGATGGACCCAATGACCCAACAGCCCCGCGGGGACCCACGCGGTGTCACTCTCCAGCAGCCCTGGAAGTCAGCAGGCAGTGTCTGCCCACTGTGTTTTCCCAGCCCATGTGTGAAAAAAGACTGACGTTTATCCTTTCCACCAGTTTTTTGGGTTTTTTGGGGTTTTTTCTCAGGTGTGTGATACCAGTAGCCCCTCTGGATCTCCCCGCATCCCCAGGCAGTTCGGAGAGGTCCAAAGTGGCATCACCTGTTCAGGCTGGAGAAGAGGAGACTGCGGAGAGACCTCATTGTGATCATCAACGTCCTCCCGAGGGGAAGAGAAGGGGCAGGCCCTGAACTCTGCTCTGTGGGGGCCAGGGACAGGACACAGGGAATGACCTGGAGTTGTGTCAGGGCAGGCTCAGGTTGGATCTTTTCCCAGGTGCTTCCCCCAGAGTGTGGTTGGGCACTGAACAGGCTCCCCAGGGTGGTGGGCTCAGCACCAAGGCTGACAGAGCTCCAGAAGTGTTTGGATGATCCTCTCAGGCACATGGGGTGACTTTTGGGGATGGCCCTGTGCAGGACTAAAGGTTGGACTCAACGATCCTCATGGGTTCCTTCCAACTCAGCATATTCTGGGATTCTGTGATCATCCTAAAGGACTCCAGGTTCATCTTCTGTCCCACAGTTTTATCAGTATCATGACATTTCCTTTATGCTCCCTCAAACTGACACTCACACTCAGAAAGTGTCACTGCCAGTAAAAGAATGGGAAGTAAGCTGAGATAAATCAATGAAAGGGAAAAAACCCTCAAAACACAATTAGAGGCACAAGGCCACTGCCTCACTGAGTCACAAAATGCTGGATGCTTCCACTGCTCAGGGAAAATCCTGCCAGACTCACCCACCCTGGCTTCTGCTGGTGACTGCTGTCAGAAAGGGGGGCTATGAACACAGGTTCTGCCCTGGTATCACTGCCCTGACACCTCTGGCTGCATGGTGTGCCCCTGTCTGACAGAAGGCAGCTCACTGTGTACTCTTCTGCTTTTTAGATTAGTTCATGCAATATTTTTTCTTTTGTCCATCTGGAGAAGTCTCCTCCTCACCCTACTTTACTAAAATTAATAGGAATTTCTGCTAAGTGCATGACTTTGTATTTCTACTATTAAATTGCATCTCATTTCTCTTTCTCCAGTCCGCAGACTCATCCATTTCTTTCTATAAGGTATTCCAGTCCTTTTCTGTTGTAACAGCAGGTCTTAGGTTTATGTCATCAGCAAATTTCATTAGCACACTCATGTTTTTTGTGCCAAGGTCACTAATAAAATTTTAACTGAGATTAGTTCTGAGATCAGTCCCTGTGGAACCACATTAGTAACCTCCTTCCATCTAGACTTTCCCTTTCAGCACATGCTATTGTCCTCACTTTTCATTTCTTACATTCATCCACATCTCTCCATCTTAATTAATATTTTCTCGCATGGCATCCTCTCAAATGTTTTATTGAAGTCCAGACAGATTTGATCTACTGTATTTTCATTGTCTGCGAAAATGATTTATCAGACTTTATCACACTGGCTGATTCTGGTATGTTCTATTTTGGTGAAGTCCTGCTGCATTTTAACTAGTTTTTCATATACCTCCACATCTTTAATTAGTTTTCCTTTGGTGCTTGTTCTAAAGCGTTGTGTACTAATGAGGTCAGATGAAAGAGCCTTGTAGCTGCCTGGATCAGTCCTTTTTCCTCGCCAAATACAAGTCCCACACAAAAATCTCTAGACTTTTCAGTGTCTTTCCTGGGCTCCTGTGGCCACCAGGTCTGACCTGAAATTAAGGCACAGCATGCCTGTGATTGATTTTAGACTAACCCCTCAGGCCAAAAAAACCAAATGTTGTTTTTTTTTTTTTTTTTTACTTCAAAGCCTGCCAGGTTTCTTCTGCAAAACCACACGTTCAGATTGCCTAATTCCCAGATTTACTCACAATCATGCCTTTGGGATTTTATGTACCCAACCTGAGTGCTCTGGCCTTGCCTTGCACAGACCTCTTTTCCATTTCAAATGCACTTCTTTATGCTTGCGTTTTTCTTGTATTAACATTTTGCAACCCCAAAAGAACAATTGAAGAACAGTGCTTCTGCTTTCCCCTTCATAAACATGTCCAGTCAATGGATTTAGAATAAATATTAGTATTTTAAACCAAAACCACTTTACTCATCTCCAGTAATAGACATCTGCCACATCAAAATGAGATGTAGCAGTGAAATTCGTGGCTGAATAAAGTGTTCAGTTTATCTTATAGAGGATAAACCTAGTGAGGGCTTTTTCTCTTGCAATTATTTGGTCTTAGAGTTATTTCTCCTGCAATTATTTGATCTCTTTGTGGCCTTTGCCACTTTCTTAATTAGCTCCCAATTGATAGGAGACTCCAGGTTGCTTTCTTCCAGTGTGGAAAAGATTGTGGTGAGGTCCTTGCTGAGAGTGGCATTTAATTCCTCAGAGCAGTAGCACAAATGGGAGGGGAGGGAGTCAAGTCCAGATTTTTGGCTGGACCAGTGCACTTCCATAACCTTCAGGCAGTAGGAAACTCTAGCAAGTTGTACCTCAGCCCCTCTGCATCCTTTTGTGTGTCTGAATAAGCAGCTTGTTTGGAGGAGGCTTTGCATGAATCCCATCCTGAGGCAGCGGGCTCAGTTTGGAAAAGGAGATTATCTAGAAATTTGGAAGAGGGCAGCTCCCGGGCACATTCAAATCAGAGCAGTGATGACTGTAAGGGCTGTAGGAACCTTGCTGGAAACCTTTGGTGCTAAATACAACTGTTCATCATCTTTTGGCAGAATGTCAGTGCAAGATGTGCCCCACTTGTGTTATTTTAACAGTGCTGGTAAAAGACCAGAATTCTGTAGGTAGGATCTAAACCTGAGTATAGACTAGACTTGGGTCACAGCAAGCAAGTTTTACTGATAAAATAGTGGAATAGCATCAGGCTACAGATTTTTTTATCACTTGGATGTATTTTTTTTTTCACTCAGTAAATGATCTGTGTTTCCTCTCAAGGTGCAGCAGGTTTGCATGGTGGGTCTCTAAGATTAGACTCAACAGTGAGGCCAGCTGACCTTATGAGAATACCAAGGTTAAGCTTCCAAATAAGGCTGGGACATCTCACCAGGCTGGGCTTGATAAGTCATGCAAGCTCTTTTTTTTTTTTTTTTCATTCAAAATAAGCAAGCATTATGTAGGAGAGTGTACCCAATTTGACTCTATATATTCTAGCCTTTCATTTCATATGAACCAGAACCAAATGTATGCTATTTGTCATCTCTAAATCTATAATTTATAAACAGGTTCACCTAAGGAACATAATTCACTATTGTTAAAATTTGCTCCAGAGAAAGTCGCAAATGAGAGCCCTCTAATGCAAAATGACTTAGTATGGGGCACTGGGCCTTTTTATTTACAATGTATAATGTATCAGCAACATAAATACATGGAATCAGTGGAACTTCCAGTATTTTTTCAATGCATCCCTAATTTCTAAAATGGCAGTGCAGCACTACTGTATGGATAATAAAGCAAAAACATTAATTTAGAAGGTGAGAAGAAATTCCTGTGCTGCTCTTTAGAGTATAAAATAATATACATCAATAAAAAAAGCAGCTTCATTTCTGGTTTTGTTTGTGTAATTCTTCCCCATCCAGGCAACTTGTCAGAGCCTTTCATTGCTGCAAAACAGAATTGAACACCCAAGGAAAGCTGCAAATCAAAAGCAAGATTTAAGGGACTGAAAAGTTGTTTGAATTTTGCTTTTCCTCTCCGTTGCTTTGACACATGTTTATGAACTCACAGTTGGATTTCCTCAAACAGGAAATTCCACAGTAATTATCATTAGTGAGCTATGGTAATAGCAGCCCCCTGAATCCACAGGCTCTTTTCAAAGTCATTCCCTTTTAAAGGAAATAAACGCTAAAATGGGCCAAATCTTCATTTGCTTGCTTAACCTCACTGAATTCAGTAGCAAAACAATTTACTCTGGCAAATCACCCACTGCCCCTATTTCAAACAAGCTAATTACAAGGCACAGAGCCTGTGTGGGGCTGACCCACAGCAAGCACTGCTGGACAAACACATTTGTTGCTTCAGGAGGTCTGGCTGGGGGTTCCTGGAGGGCAGAGGTAAGTGAGGATCAATGGAGAAAGATTACAGATATGGATTTTTCTGAGAAACACTTTCCAGGACCACAGGCTAGAGAAAGCAGCACTTTGGTCCCAAGCAATGGTCCACCCAGCCCAGGCCCTGCCCCTCAACACCTACCAGATGTGTCAAAAAAGCCACACACCTTCTAGAAGGAAGACATTTCAAAACCTGTCCCTCGTGAAAACTTTCATGGGATCCATAAAAGATCTGGTCTTCAACCAAAGTGTGACATTTAAATCCCTTTCTAAATGTTGTAACAACTGATGAATCAACTCAAAATCAGGTTCTTTCCATCGTTTTGTCAGCCCTTGTCCAGAAACCTGTTCATGAGTTTCTACCTCCTCTTTAGCATCTACCTGAATTGCACATAAGGTGCTAACTTAAGTTTTGTTTTCTGGCCTGAGTTTGTTCCCAACTTGTGGACTGAGAAGAACCAGCTTGCTTCAGGTAATAAATTGCTTTAACCTGGATTTCCACCACAGTGTGCATTAGTTCACATCAAGAGCTCCCTCTCAATAAGCACAACCTAGAAGGACAAGTGTGAATGCAGTTTCTGTATAAAAGGCTATTATTATCATCAGAGCAGAATTGAGAATAAACATTCCCAAATCAGCTTCCAATGCAAATACAACAGCAAACTGTGGAATCAGCACAT